GGTAATGTGTTTAGTGTATCATACAACTGTACAAGTAGGTAATGTATTCAATATATCATACAATTGTACAAGTAGGTAATGTGTTTAGTGTATCATACAACTGTACAAGTAGGTTATGTGTTTAGTATATCATACAACTGTACAAGTATGTAACGTTCAATATATCATACAACTGGACAAGGAAGTAATGTGTTCAATATATCATACAACTGTACAAGGAAGTAATGTGTTCAATATATCATACAACTGTACAAGTATGTAATGTTTTTAGAATATCATACAATTGTACAAGTATGTAATGTGTTTAGTATATCATACAATTGTACAAGTACGTAATGTGTTTAGTATATCATACAACTGTACAAGTAGGTAATGTGTTCAATATATCATACAACTGTACAAGTAGGTAATGTGTCTAGTATATCCTACAGCTGTACAAGTATGTAATGTGTTAAGTATATCCTACAACTGTACAAGTATGTAATGTGTTTAGTATATCATACAATTGTACAAGTAGGTAATGTGTTTAGTATATCATACAACTGTACAAGTAGGTAATGTGTTCAATATATCATACAACTGTACAAGTAGGTAATGTGTTTAGTATATCATACAACTGTAAAAGTAGGTAATGTGTTCAATATATCATACAACTGTACAAGTAGGTAATGTGTTTAGTATATCCTACAACTGTACAAGTAGGTAATGTGTTCAATATACCATACCACTGTATAAGGAGATAATATGTTCAATATATCATACAACTGTAAAAGTAGGTAATGTGTTTAGTATATCATACAACTGTACAAGTAGGTAATGTGTTCAATATATCATACAACTGTACAAGTAGGTAATGTGTTCAATATACCATACCACTGTATAAGGAGATAATATGTTCAATATATCATACAACTGGAAATGTTTAAAGTACACCTCTAATGATTATTATCTTGTGTTCCATGCTTTCATTACGATATGACTTGAGGGCTAAGTTATGTATTTTAGTGTCTTTAAACTCATTTTTATAAAGAAGAAAAAAATGTGTTTCAGGAAATAAGCTTCAAGTTTTTGTTGGCAAAAATTAGAAATTTAACAATGTTTTTTTTAAGTACATGCAATATAACATAATGATTAACATATCAATAACCCTATGTGCATGGGTGGAAGTCAAAGTTTTTAAGCCATAACCTTTTCAGTGTGCCATTCAACATGATATTATGTATCTGGTGTCAGAGTTATCAGTTATTCATTTTACTCTACATTGCTGATTTAGGAACAGTTTGTGTTAGAGTAAATATCATTTACGGTGTATTATGGATATGCATTTCAGGGATTCTAGAGGCTATATATGTAATGTACAAACTATAAGTTGTATAAAAGTATTTTTATTCTTCACATGAACATCACCTGATTGTGCACGCTTGACTTGTCTGAATTTCAGTCAGACTGACATAGTCAATTCACAGACATATTTTGAAAACAAATACCTTTGTATCTCATCTGATTTTTGGTGTACCAAGACTTGTATATTTTACTACAAGCTTGCCACATTTCCTATAGATACACTCTGTAAATTTGGAATCATAGTCAATATTCCTTTTCCAATACGAGGTTGGCCCAATGGACTGAGCCCATGCACATTCGGTTAATTATTATAAAATGCTGGACCAGAAGGTAGTTTAATAAAAAACAATAGCTTTAACTAACTTAAAAAACGTTTGGATATATAATCCACCTGTATTGGTAATTAAAGATTTAAAAGGATTTTATATTGTGTTGAGCTTTGTTGAAAGGTGTTCTTTTTTTCTTATCTTTAGGAATGGGCAGACTATGATGAAAAGTCCAAAGAATCAGTTGGAGTTTATGAATTTACTCATAAGTTTGTCAAGGTTTGAGAAATAAAAGACAAAGTTGTAAAAAAAAAACTTTCTTAGGTTAAGCACACATTACTAAGTGATTTTGGTTTTTGCTTCAGCTGCTGTCAGTATATTATGAAGGTATGTAAGAGCTTTACATAAATGCCTCAAAAGTAATTCAGTGCTCAAGAAATAAATTTTTAATTGCTTCTTTTTTCTTTTTGCTTGAGTTTGTGTTTTTAAGAAATTTCTTCTTTTCCGGATTTTTAAAACATATGAACATTATGTTTGCAGTTTTTAAATATATGAACACCCTTTAGTTCTTGATCTTTTTAAACTTGTTCAATACACCGTGAACTCTGTTCAGTAAAATACAATCTTGTGATCTCTTGTGTGCAATATCATTATGAATAAGGAAGAAGATTAAAAACTGTATAATTCAGGTAGAAGAAGAATAAAGTGCTGTTTTGTAATACAAATAAACTGAGAAGAATTAACTGTATTATCTAGAAAACTTTCAGTTGTTAACTATATATATGTGTTACTTTACATCATGTAACACATATCGTAAGTATATCTTACACATAGTTTCACATGTAACACATATAGTAAGTACATTTTACACATAGTTTCACATCATGTAACATATAGTAAGTATATCTTACACATAGTTTCACATCATTTAACATATAGTAAGTACATTTTACATGTAGTTTCACATGTAACACATATAGTAAGTACACAGCATGGTCACAAGTAAATAGACACCACCTTTTCAGAAAAAAATGAAATTTTGCAGTCATATTCTCATGAATTGATATATTTATAATTTAATTAATATATAGTAGATCTTCCTTTCGCTTCGTGGAGTTCGTTTATCCTTTGGGGCATCGTGAGAATCATCTCGTCAATTTTAGATTGTGGGCTTTTCGCCCACTCTTGCTTCAAAACTTGGAGTAAATCGTTCTTCAAAGTTGTTTTTTTTTGTTGTTTCTTGACTTGCCGGTCTAGTATGGCCCAAAGGTTTTCGATGGGGTTCATGTCAGGAGATTAGCTCGGCCAGGGCAACTTCTAGATACCA